ACAAATAATTTGAATTGTAATGTAGCGCAATGATTATATTTTACTGCAATTTTAAATAAATAAATAACTTTTAAACATGCAAATATATGGATACAAATAAATTTTTGAGCGAATATTTGTTAAAGTTTTATTAATAAATACATGTAAAAAATTTAATTTAATTTATAACGTTTTATTTCCTTATTTCCCTAAAATTAATAAAGTATTACAAAACATGACTTTACATGATAAAAATCAAGGCAAACAAATAAATTAGATAATTTTACGTTAATAAAAGAATTGGGCAAATTTTACGTAAATACATTGTCAGATATAATAATAGAACTTTCCATTTTTATATTTTTAATAATGTTTTAAAATGTTAACAGTTTTTATTACAAACACATTCGTTTTGTTTTTGAAATAATGCGTTTTTGAATTATTTTGAAAGTGTAATAAAAAGAATCGCGTTTTACAATAGATGGAATCGAGAGTGCTTTTTTCATTTGGAATTTATGACTCAATGGTAAATTCTTTCATAATTCAATTTTTACAAAATGTGCTCGTTTTGAAGAGAAGTGTTTTTGTATATTTTAGCAAAAATAAATACATTCTCTTTATTTTCTAAAATAATGCGCGAATGGTGTCATTGTTTGCCATTTATATCGAAAGTAATCATAGAAGTGGTAAATACTCGAGCGTCACGAAACGTTGAAAATTGCGATTATTGCTCCATTCGGAGCGGGTAAATAATGTCAAAAATATCGCCGCTTTTCCCTGTCTCAGTTTATATCTTTCGAGTGCTAGGACTCTCTTGGTAGGATATCGAACACGAAGGCAATAAAACGTCAGACTTATATATATATCGTTTTGCCGATCGTCCATCGATCGCGTGGTATACATCGTGTGAGGAATATTCATGTTGGCGTACGTATATACGCTGTAAACGATACAAGAAATTCTATGTATGCGTACGGAAACAATTTTTTTCTGACGGTGGAACGTCGAGTGTGATATATTCGTTCAACAAGTTCGATATTTCCGTTCGAATGACCATACATGTACGAAACGATGTACATTCCGCAGTAGATTATATATGACATAAATGTAGCTCGTTTGTTCTTTAGCCATTATTTCTCTCACAAATATATACATATATATATATA